CGTGGTTGTTTTATAGCCAAACCACGTCTTAAAAGTGCTTCCACCAACATATTAGGCGTTGCTTACCAAAAGTATATAGTCATGTCATAAAATATTGCTTTGTTTTGCAATACGAAGTGGCTATTCGTACTGGAAGGGACAGTAATCGATTGCAACAAACGTTATTTCGTATCGGAAATCGATGTTTGAATCCTCGGCATACCGAATAAGACTTGTAAAATTTTTCATATTTTTGTTTTTATTCGTGTACAAATTTAGCTTAGCAAAGCAAAAATTTTGCTCTCTTCAGCCAAGACGAGGAGCTTTAGGCGAAAGCTTTATTGCTAAATCATTTAGCAATTACTAGGAATACAAGATTTGTTATTTTCGCGCCGAGCTCCGTGCTTTTGCCTACAGAGAAATATAAACTTCTCTCCTTGCAATGCAATTTTACTCTTGAGGCATCTAAAGTTGTCAAATATGAACATTTCTTACAATCTGCTGATGTTTTCTTAGCATTTTGAACATCCCCCAAAATTATTTAGCATCAAATGTGGTATAACAACTGCCTGAATAGACGAACACTTCTCAACGTTTTGACCTGCGGCTGGTTGTTCAAAAGCTGGTTAAGCTAACCCTGGGTTAAAGCAAATCTTTGCATCGATTTTTAAACCGCTTGTTTACAAAGTTGAATATCTTTTTCATAAATATTTTCTGGATCGATAGAAGTCATATTTTCTAAGATTTTAAAACGAACAGTGGTTCAGAAGCACATAAACGAAAATATACTGGATTAAAATTTAACCCAGGGTTAGCACTAACCTAGCTTTGAACAACTGGCCCCTGAGGTTCCTTTAAAATTATAATTGCCTTGCAAGTTGCAAAGGAAATGGCATAGTGTAACACCACCTTAAACTTGCTGTCGAAGGCTTAAGTGCAGATCATACAAGCACTAATTCATAGGTGTGCCAAACTAAAGATTTTGGAAACATCAGACAAATGAATTTCAGGCAAAAATTTCAATATTGAGTACAATTGAGTATATTGAGTCCAACATATAATGGTCTCTGGGGGGTAGCCCCATCCCCTGCCTTGTATGCTTATGCTGCAGTTTATTTTAAACCTGATTGGTAACCTGGCTAATTGGAGACCAACTATGTCCCTTGCCACCTAACCATTCTGTATGGTAAGCATTTTGTTATAAAATAAATACATGTGATAGTTCTACAAACTGATGATTTTACACATCAGTGGAAGAGTACTGTCAGTTATTAAGTTAACAAAACTATCTGTCAGTGTTTCTTGTTAACCCATTAGCTTGCAATGCACCCAGATGTGACCTACTTTAGTATTTACTCTGTCTAATGTCAGATGATTTTACTCATCAGTGGAAGAGTTCTGTCAGTTAATGAGTTAACAAAACTATCTGTCAGTGTCTCTTGTTAACCCATTAGCTTGCAATGCACCCAGATGTGACCTACTTTAGTATTTTACTCTGTCTAATGTCAGATGATTTTACTCATCAGTGGAAGAGTTCTGTCAGTTAATGAGTTAACAAAACTATCTGTCAGTGTCTCTTGTTAACCCATTAGCTTGCAATGCACCCAGATGTGGCCTACTTTAGTATTTTACTCTGTCTAATACCAGATGATTTTACTCATCAGTGGAAGAGTACTGTCAGTGTCAACTATGAATGGTTTTCACTAGCTGCTAAATAAAAGGCAGGCATAATATTCAGTAGAGATTTCTGATTTTCTGTTGAGAAAACTACCCACATTGCTTCTGGTTGCATGTGTCGTAAATTAAATACTTGCAATACATTCAACTTGCCGTATGTTAGAAATTCATTGCTGTGTCAACAGGCCCTTCAAATAATTCCTATAATCTTTTGATGTCTATTAAATGTATTTATAATAATAGTCACAGAAGGCAAGTGATTACAAGCCATATATGGCTTGTAATCACCGAGCCTTACTGTATATACATATAATACATATTGGAGCCAGTCCTAGAAGTTAGCCACGTGCACATTAACAATTTTCGTCTTAGCTCTTCGCCGAGATGAAAATCTTTTACACAAATAAATAAAGCAAAATAAGTGTGAATACAAACAAACATTTACGATCTTGCTTTTAGAAGCTTCGCGATTCTCGCCGAACTCATGGCAATAAAGTATATGTTTCGGAAATTTCTTAGGATTTATAATTTCCTAGGAAATATGGCCTGACGGGGCCAAATTTTGGGGGGCCAAATTTCCTGGGACACCTGCTCCCATATAAACAGCCCCTAAGTCGGTCGACCATTCGCGGGGAGTCGACCAAGTTCAAGCCTCAATTTAAGATAGAATATAACATTTACCTCTGAGATTTTTCAGAAACCACTAGATCTTTACTTCTTCTGTAACTGCATTTATATTTTTTCTTGATTTATTTCGCAACGAATGCAAAAATTTTAGCCAAATTTTTTCTGAAATGCGATGAGAAAATAGAGCGATCTCATTGGTCGAGAGCTCACGTGACAACTTGCTAATTGCTTGGTTAAAATGCTATTTTTGTACAAAAATGGCATTTTATACACAGATGAGCTATATACTCAGCTATATAGCTAATGCATCAAACACAGATGAGCTATATATCTATAAAGTAGATGATGAGATAAACCTCATTAAGCTTCATTAGCATCTGGTTATCTAACGTTTGAATTGCATTCGACGCGACCAAAACGCGACGCATAACCAAGCAGCACACTCCGAAATTATATTAAACCCCGTTTTTACACGATTTCGTAAATCACTGCTCATATTTTGACTCCTTCCGAAGAGGCGATATAAAAAGGCAGTGAAAATTTAGAACAACCAAAAGATTGATTGTTCTAACCAATAAATCTGAGGTTACCAATTTTAGATTTTTACTGTTTTGACAGTGAATGCTTATATCAACCAGAATGCAAAATTGAAAGTCATGTTAATTTGTTTCAGCCATATTGAACACGAGGCAGTGATGGTTGAGGGATATAGCGAACGTCGGTTTCAAGAAACAGTAAGAGCGGAGTTGATGTGTAATATCTGTTTTGGTGTGTTGAGAAACCCCAGGTTATGCGAAGCAGAAGAACATCAATTTTGTTTAGGCTGCATAACCAGATGTTTGGCCGAATCAAACAACTGCCCAGTTTGTCAGACCCGACTTACTGTGGCAACGCTGAAACCTCTTGGCCGTTTCTGGTTGAGAGCTTGGTCAGAGCTTAGAATCAACTGTGAATACTACAATCAAGGCTGTCCTGAACAAATTCCGCTTGGAAGTTTGCACGTCCACGTGGATTGTTGTCCTTTCCGTCCGTGTGAAAAATGTGGCGCGCAAACAATTGATGAAGATGGTAGCAACGTCCACGACCAAGATATCTGTGAGTTTGGTACCACTGTTAGGGAGAATTTTCGAGATGTCAAAATCATTGAAGAAAAATTGGAAGATGAGTTTGCTTCTCACAATCGAAAAGGAAGAAAATTCGATGAGAAAATAGAGGAATTAGAAAAAAAATTGGAGAGGTACTTTTTTTTTTCTTTTCACTTTCATGTCACATATGAACTGATTTTATATTTAAAATATGAGAAACGCCATGTTGTTGTATTTCAACTTTCAAACCTTTACGTTTTGTAAACCAGCAAAGCTAATGAACATTTAGAAGCTTGTTGGCTTGAGCCATAGTTTCAACGTATTAGTAATAAGGTATTAGTTTATTTTTTTAAATTGTTTTAGCACACCTCTCATGAAATTAGCATGATGTTCACTGACAAAGGGATCTTGTGTAGGGGAATAATTTTTGTGTCCCGGGTATTACCTATGGATTACTTTTTCCACCCGGCGACTGAGTCACAAAGCAAAGATAACAGTCGATATTGAGCGTAAGGAATTTAGTCCCGAAAGGTTTGCACATTCATTTTTCGCACGTTGTAAGGGGATGTAACAATAATTCACAAATATTCCTGAGTTTGTTATGAGCAGAAAATATGCTTTAACGGACTTGGTGCCGTGTGAGAAAATTGGAAAATTAAACGAGACTTACCTGTAAGTTGAAGTTGGATTGAAATTCTGTCACATGGCTGGGAGGCGAGGGAGATCACATGGATCTCCCGCGCCTCCCAGCCATGTGACAGAATTTCAATCCAACTTCAACTTACAGGTAAGTCTCGTTTAATTTTCCAATTCTGTCACATGACTGGAGGCTTCAGGAGATCCCATGAGACTTTAAAGCTCTGACACATCCACCAAATCACCATGTTGCCACATATATGATGGAGAATATCAAGTTTTATAACATACATTAAATATCTCAATAGATATTTTCAATCCATAGCACTATGGTCAACAATTGTAACTAATAAGTAACTAGTCTGTCTATGCTGATAAAAAAGAACCCAACAACAAACCAATTTCAGAAGCTGTGACTTATAGTTCAAGCTATGATTTTAGTACTGTGTCTGCCAAGCAGACCTTATCTAGAATTGGTTTATGGTAGAACTTGTGAAAAGTATTGGCTGATGCCCATCCGGCTGTAGACAGAATTACATCTAAGGGTATGTCCCTCTCTTTTGCCTTTGAAGATACAGCTGCTCTGGTACTGTGACTGGTAAATTGACTTGTATCTATGCCAGCAGCTGCCATCACATTTTTTTCCACCTTGATATGGTATCTCTTGAAACACTTTTATGTGGTCTGATGAAACTTATAAATAACTTTGTCTCTGTGTTCCTCAAGGGTTCTGTTCTCTTAAGATAAGCTTTCAGCACAGTTAATGGGCAAAGAGTTTTGTCAGTTAGGAAAGGCTTGATTTCTATTGGTTTTGTGTTCTTATTTGGTCTGCTGGTCTTTATATGTTCCAAAATTTGAAATGTACATGAGTTGGGTCTCAAAGTCATACCATCTAGGCTTAGTAAGTAAATAGATTGTCCTCGTTGTCCAGTAGCTAGTAGCAATAGCATAACTAGCTTTAAGTGAGTTCTTTCAACGTGATCTGCTCAAGTGGTTCTATGGTCTTGAGATAGTCCAACACAACATTTACGTTCCAAATGTATTATATTTTGGTTCTGGTTTTGTAATCTCATATAATCCTTGAAGAACCTTGTAACCAGTGGGTGCGATCCAAATTTTTCTTGACCAACATGTATTATTGTCGACAAAGCAGACCTGGCAGTGTTTATAGAGTAATAGCTCAGTCCTTGCTTGTGTAGGCTATTTAAGAATTCAAGTGCCTGACTTATCTTTGGGCTACTATTATCAATTTTCCTTTCACTGCAAAATGCCAGCCATTTTTCACATAGGTCTTGTATTGGGCTTGTGTTCCTTTCTCCATGATGCCATAAGGATGTTGGTAATTTCTGCTGAAAGGCTTTGCTGTGTGAAGGTGTTCCTGATAAAGGACAGACCATTAGTCGTAGGCTCTTGTGTAGTGGGTGTGGTTCCTTGATGTGGGCATGGATCAATAATTGTGGTGCTGGGCCTATGATCCATGGTTGGCTGTATAGCAGTTGTAGAACTTGAGGGAACCACGGTTGTGTTGGCCAAACTGGTATTAATAATATTCCTTTTGCTTTGTCTTGGTTTATTTTCTGCAGACACTTTGGGATCAAACTGAAAGGTGGAAAAGCAAAGAAGTTCAGTGTACTCCAGCTTATTGTAAAGGCATCTACATATGTACATCCTGGGTCAGGTTTCCAGGAGCAGTAGACAGGTAATTGATTATTAAGTCTGCTAGCAAAAAGGTCAATGGCCAATTCTGGAATGATCTAGCAATCTCCTGGAATTGGAATTTGTTCAAAGCCCACTCATGTTTGTCTGAAAATTTCCTGGATCTGTGGTCTGCAGTTGTGTTAAGTTTGCCGCAATGTGTACTGCAGACACCCAAATGTTCTTATTTATGCACCAGTTCCACATTTCTTTTGCTAATTCATTTAATTGATGTGATGTGCTCCCACCCATGTGTATAATGTATGCAACTGCTGTTGTGTTGTCTATTTGTAACTGCACATGGATCTTTTTTGACAGTTTGCAAAAAGCTTGGAGCACAAAGAAGGCAGCCTTCAGTTCTAAAACGTTTATATGGCTTGTGGCCTCACTATCTGTCCACCTTCCTCCAGTGCTTTGGTTACCAAGGGCTGCCCCCCCCCTTTTTTTGAGGCGTCAGTTTGTATGACGATATTGGGGTTTGGATGCAGTATCTCTCTGTTTACATGTGTCATGTTGTCTATCCACCACCGCAGTTCAGCTTTGGAGGCGTCGCCCAGCTGCATTTGTGATTTGTAATCACCCTGTTTTGGGCAAGTGCTTCTGTTTTGTCATGTTCTAAGCTGCGATAATGTAGGAGACCATATTGTGCCCCAGGGAAGTTGGAGACAATAGTTCCTATAACTTCTGCTACTTCTGATATTCTTGCATACTGTTTATTATGCAGTTTACCACAGATTTTTATAGTTTTATGTATTTTTCCCTTGAGGGGATACAGTCATGTTAGTAGAGTCAAGAAGGAATCCCAAGAAAGTAAGTCTCTGTGTGGGATTAATGACTGATTTTGTTGGATGCAAATGAAAGTTCAACTTCCTAAACAGGGATATTGTGTTTTCTATATTCTCACAACATTCATTATGTGTATCTCCTTGTAAATAGGAATCATCTATATATCCCATGTTCAGGTAACCTTTGCTATGTAATGTTTCATAGACTGGTTTAAGGAGCTTAGTAAATATCCTTGGTGCACAGCTTAAGCCATTCGGTAGGCATGTGAATTGGTACAGTTGTTTTTGAAATACAAATTTAAGAAATTTTTGATGCTCTGTGCATATGGGTACACTATAGTATGCATCTTTCAGGTCTATTGATGCCATGAAGCAACCAGGCTTCATCATTCGTATAGTTGTTTCTAGTGTATCCATCTTGAAATGATGGTATTCAACATACTCATTGAATTTTTTCAAATTAAGTATCATGCGGTGTGTGCCATCTGGTTTAGCCCGCAAAAATATAGGAGAGATAAATTCCCCTGGTTCATTTGAAGAAGGTACAATAACTCCCTTTTGTAGGAGGTTTTCAATTTCATTAGCAATTATCACCTCTTGTGTACAGTTAAAATTACTAGGTCGTGTACTTTCCTGTTGTGGCCTTTGCCCTAGGCAAAATTTTATTCTCACACCCCTTACAAATTCTATGATAATGGGATCAGAAGTGAGTTTTTGCCATTCGCACAATGCATGGGCAATTTGCCCTGCAAA